AAAAGACTGTGTTATGATATCCATAAAACCAGCCAAAGAACACTTAGTGGTTTAAAGCTATTTGAAATAAAGTGTCTTACAACGTTTCTGCTAGCAACACAACCGGAATAAAGATCCTTGACTAACGATGGGCTTCATATAAACCCCACACTGATGCTCTGCAGGATGCAAAGTTCCCTGCCTTCCCCTAAGCCCACCCCTCGCTCAGGTGGAAGATGAAGGGAAGCACAGGGGAAAGGAAGAGCAGAACACGGTTGCCTACAGAACTACCGTACAAGCCACAGAGATCATGGTCTACCGGGGCGCCTTGCGCAAGCCACTTCATCTAGAAGCTGAACTAACATTCCAGCTCAACAATAGCAAAAAACCATTTGTTACCACACGGCGTTTTTGCTACAGATTAACCAGCAGTTGCTACGCAAGCGGAATGGAGTGCTGCGATTCCGAGGTACATGTTATTTATAACAGAATCAAATCAAATGTTGACTTATGGGCAGTGAGCCTGAGGTGAGTGCTCGTGGGCTGGCCATGCCACTGGGTGTAGAACATGCTTGGAAGTTATGCAAAGCAGGCCCTGCATTGGGAACAATGCAGTCATTTTCCTTGCTAAGCTAATTTTGCATTAAGGCAATGAGAGTCTTCATCTATGCAGCCTCTTAAAACATTAAATCAGATTTAGTTACTAGGAAGAAATACCAGAGCGGAGCTTCCTATACTCCTCAGGAGTTTTCAAATGTGAGAACCTCAAGCCAACCAGGTCAGTAGGTGGTGTGGAAAAATAAACCTCTTGTAACTTTATGACATGCAGCTTTCTTGGTCCCATGAAGAATAATGCACCAGCTCCTCCAGACCGGGCAGACAGTCTGGAGCCAAATGCTTTCACAAAACATTTGCAACAGGATTCACCAACGGCTGGTGGCATCTACTCTTCTTGTAATGGGCAACACCAGAGGTTGTAGAAAAGGCCTGAAATACCTATAGGCTATTTGAGGCCAAGTATGTATTACCCACACACGCACACACTAGTACACATGCACGCAAATAGCTCTATAGGCAGGACTTGGATTTTGTAGGATCCAAGGCAGAGAAGCTGACTCTTGTCACAGGGTTTGGGAATCAAGGACTGTGGGGTGCTAAAACCAGCTCTAAATTACAGGTCTCCTTTGCTTTGGACAAACCACTTTAACATTATCCCTCCAGGATTTACACACCAACTTTACGGGCATGCTGCTTAGATGTCTGCAAAGTGCTTTGCAATGGTTTCTAAATCCTGCAGTGATATGCACAGAAGTGCACAGACAGATTTAAGATAACAGTTGCTGAGCGTTATTACTGTGTAACTACAACCTATTTTTACACGCTCTATACTTAGTTTCTATAAACACATGGTAAATGTTCAGTATTTGGATGCTTTAATGAGCTTTATGACCCTTTTGTAAATTTCATAAACAAGCAGAAATAACACTTACATGAAGAAGAGTCTCTCCTGAACGGATTTTCTCCTCCTGTTTGGGAAAAAGAAAGAGAGAAAAAGGAAAAAAAGTATTTTAAAAGAAAATAATTTGGTTCCAGCAAGGTAAATCAGACGTGTTTCAAGTTACTGTGCACAGCGTTTACTGAATTTCACCAGTATCAACTTCTACTTGAAGAACACCAAGACACTGAAAATAGTACCAATATCAAAACAAGGTGCCGTTTCTCCCTTGTTTCATCCTATGTAAAACATCACAGAAGATTTGACTATATCCATCTGAAGAGAAAGGAAATTACACCCCAGCAGTGAATTAAAATGCAAATGCCATGTGATTCATTCCTTGAGCAACCTGCTCCAGTGGAAGGTGTCCCTGCCCATGGCAGGGGGTTGGAACTGGAAGAGCTTTAAGGTCCCTTCCAACACAAACCATTTGATGATTCTGAAGCAAAAAAGGAAGAACTTTTAACTACATTCCAGTTGACAGGGTTGATATATGGGTTGCTCTCCAACCTGTGGACAGCCTACCAGCACCAACACCCTACAGCAGGGCACTCCGGCTGTGTTTTAGCACAGTGTGACCATATTTCCACACCAGTGCTTAAAGAACTGACTGCATTCAAACCCAGGTCAGGGATGTGAAGGCGTTCTTCAAGGCTGTGACCATTCTGGGTGATAGAACCACAACAGGAAAGCCAGTAACTGCTAAAATGCATGAGTCTTCCTAACAGCCCATGAGTCTTAACAGCCACCCGTCCTGCTGCCTCCCACCCTACTCTCCCTGGCAGGACATGGCTTTGACTCACACTCCACTTCCACCAACCAAGCTGGTGGGTTTGGTGGATGTTCTTGGAGCAGGGTTTAGGGTCAGCACCAAGTGGCTTTTTGCTGACGTATCATGGAACCACAGAGCGGTTTGGGTTGAAGGGACCTTAAAGCTCATCCAGTTCCAACCCCTGCCACGGGCAGGGACACCTTCCACTAGAGCAGGTTGCTCCAAGCCCCTGTGTCCAACCTGGCCTTGAACACATTGATAAAAAAGACAGAGACTGGTACAAATACAGAAGATGCTGCAGGACACGAGCCACAGCTTCAGAGTCACAGACTGGCAGCACAACAGCACTTCAGTGGCAGGTTTGGGAGAACAAAAGGACAACAAAGTGTGGCAGTTCCACTTAATTTCTACCACATTATCTTATATCAATATTAGCTACTCTGTAAGCAATTTAAAGGGTATTGCCTAGAGTTTACATGCCTTGGGATGATACTCAGCGAGCACAAATCAATTAAATCCATGGCATGACAACAGCTGAGGATTTAAGTAAGTATGCATGTGTGGAAGAAATTCAACAGATATTAAATCACTGCATTTTCACCCTCACACTTTTCTTCCCAAGGCCAAGGACTCAATTCCACAAGCAGCCCCCCAGAGTGGCATGAGAATAAACTTGAGTTCTGTGTATGGAGCACTTGAAGAGGTCTGGACTCAGAATTACTTTAAAAAGCATAACCCTGATCCATTCCGGTCACGTAAATTGAGTTAGTGATGAGAATTCGAAGGCACTAATCCTGCTGGGTAATCTATTCAAAGCTGCACTTCCTAAATGATCTACAATTTATTAGTATGACCAATCAAATAAGCATTACTTGCAAAAGGCTTTAACTACCATGGCTTTCCCATCCATTTTTATGTGTTGTAATATGGTTAAATTTAAAAGAAACAAATCAGCATAATCTTTTCAGAGTCATTTGCCAGCATGGTTTAAAGCCTGGTTAAGGCACTAGTGCAGGGACTCCCCTTACTGGTGGAACTGGCAGCATCGCCACTGGGGCACTGAGGCAAGACTAGGGGGCACTGGAAAACCTAGAAGGGGCAAAAGGAAAATAATGGGGGGTTCTGCCGAGTCTGAGATGCAGTGATGAAAATCCTGGGAGCATCACTGCCTGGGAAACACGATGGCTTGTGCTGAGAATCTCTTCGGAAACACTCAGCCCACAGGACTTGGCTAGAAGCCACTAAGACGTAGCTCAGTTTTGGTCAGGCAGAGTACTGATTCAGGGAAAACTCACTGAAGTATTTCCAGTGATTCACTGTAAGGCAAGATCCTCACCGAGGCTCTACAATCAGAGCTGTGCTCCGGCACCGGAGGGTTCCCGAGCACCGCGCAGCCAGAGTGAGCCAAGCTAAAGGGTCGTCCTATTTTCGCAGGGCAATGCTGCCCCTCTTTTGATACAGCATTTCACACTGACCAAAGCTTTTTGCCACAGCCCCAGCATTTCCCCTCTGACACTTCGGAAACCTCCCGGCAGCCCACCCAAAATCTACCAATAGAGAGGAATATGCCAAGTTTTACTCAGTGAAATAGCATTTGAAGCAGTCCAAATTTCTACTGGATTCTAGACCAAGATCCCTAAACAACCAACCAACCAACTCCCATACCCCTTCCGCCAAGTTTTTGACCTGGCACCCCCCCAACCTGCCACCACCTTCTCGGTACCTCCAAGTATCAGAGTGCCGTCTGCAAGCTCCTGCTTTCTGCACAGTGTGGCAGAGAATAACCCTAACCACGCATGGTAGGAGCACCAGGTTAATAAATTACAGTGAGAAGCAGCCTTGGCTCTGCTGCCAGTCCACAGGCTGGGGTCAGGGTCCCAACCCCCTCATGGGGCAGCACCAGGACCCCATGGGGAGGGCAAGGAGCCAGTTGCCCTTCTCAAATCAAGCCAAACCATAAGAGAGGTGGGATGGAACAGAGGTGAAATGCAGGCAAATGTAGAGAAGAGAGAAGAGAACAGAGAAAATCATAATATGCAAAGCAGAGAAGAGGCAAGTGAAGAGGAAACATGAAGATGCTATCTCTGAAAGTGCCAAAAATAAAGTTTGCAGTGTCAGTTGAACCAGGGCAGCACAGACATCCTCCTGCCACACTCGTGCTTCAGGCTCGGCTTACCCGGGGCCGCCGTCATGCTGCTTATACATTTTGCTTTAAACCCCCCAACAACCTTCAGGGCACCCTCTGTAACGCTCAAAGGTAGGCAACACCTACTCAGCTCACCCCAGTGCAGACCTGGAGGTAAACACCCGGCTGTCAAAACCCAACAGGGATCTCAGCAAAGCCTCTGCCCTCCGAATTCCGCAGCAGCAGGTTTTAACGGGCTGTTACCCTCCAACCTAAAGCCATAAAACCTGAACCGGTAGCAACTGTCACCGAGCCCTGAATCACACACCCGATGACATGTCCCCGACGAGGGCTGCCTCCCTGTTTTGCTAGTCCAAACCTCGAAACATTTCAACATAGAAGCAGTAATAGAAAAAAAAATGCAGTTACCAAAATAGCCCCATGAACGTAACCAGCTCCTCTCGGCACATTTTCTTAATGCCTTTCCCAATACGGTTACAAAAATGGGAACTAATCAAAAAACTCCATCTTTACACCTCAGCACCAGCCGTGCTGGGATACGTGCGGGGCTGCATTTCTCTGTGTTTATCTGGATCCTCTCCCACTACTTTTTGTTCATCGGGCTTTCCTTTAACCGTAGCTCTTGGTAAACAGCAGAAACCAGCTTTTACAATTCCTAAATACAAAGTTTTGCCACTCTGGAGCTGTCTGAGGAGAGCCCAGCTTGTCTTCTGTTTCTGAAATAACACACACTCTGTGCCTATGTGAAATAAATTCTCCCATGTTCTTATATGGAAGCCTTGCGAGTCCTCCCACATGCCGCCTGTTACAATATCAGGCAGAGATGGGCAGTCGTTATCTTAACGCCAGCGGGTGAAATTTGGATCCAAATTACCCCAAGACGAACCCAGAATTATCACCCCAGGCTGAGCTCGTTCCCTTGCTCCATGCAGCCACTGCGGGTTTTATTTCCAAGTCCCAACCACAACTTTGATTTCAGCATACCCAAAATCAGCAAAATCAAAGGAAAACGAAGGAAATAGAAAGGAACCAGCAGCGGTGTTACCCACCAGGTAGGCCCGGGAGCATCAGAT